ATGTTTTGATCGGAACGGTAGAGCGGTGTTTTGACCCGCGACTATGCCGCCTCACAGTCACCCAGTTGCCCTGCTGTGGAGGCTCTGTTACCAGAACCTAACAATGTACAGGACTCCCTGAGCTAGTCGCATCCAAAGCCGTATCTAGAGCCCTCACATTCTTACTGTCCTCAATTAAAGTTTGGATGCGTGTCTCTAATTCTGAAATCTTCTCTGTCAGCCTAACTATTTCCCTGCATTTATCACATGTGAATCCCTCGTCACCGACAGAGAGAGATAAACTATACATGTGGCAAGTGGTGCAAACAACAATAGCAGGAGAAGAAGCCATTACTCACCGTGATTGATGAATGATTCTGACTTACCACAGTTGTTTGATGAACTTGTGAAAAAACGGAGCGACAGAGAAAAGAATCGAAGCGAGAGAAAAAAGAAAACGGTAAAACGGTATAGAAATGCGAATGACAAGCTAACGAATGCTAACGTGCTGCACTCGCGGTTTAAATTAAAAGCGAACAATCAAATTAGTCAGACAGGAACCCCCAAAATCAGGTTTGTCTGATTTGTCTTTGTGTTTTCTGACTTGTTATAATGTTTTCGTGTTTTCTGATTTATTTTGTTTTTTAGATTTTCATTTGTGTTTGTAATTTGTTATTTTGTTTTCAGAATTGTCATTTGTTTTGCACTTCTCGGCCACCGTAGGAATTGTGTTCTCAAAATTTAGTAATGCATTTTGCTATATTTAATTTATCCGTGATGCGTAACGCTGCAGACTTTTCTTTACAATGAGCATGAAATTAATGTGTGCTGATTTACAGTGTTGGGAAGGTTACTTTGGAAATGTAATATAGAGATTTAATTATCGAATGGCGAATTCGGAAATAATCGCTTTAGTACATTCGGCAGGCAATTATACAATAATAATATTAAAAAGCGGGTCAAATCGGCTGCCAGGCCACTGGGAATAGTCCCGGTTCTCCCGATGGCCAGTCCGCGCCTGATTTCCACAGACACGCAGAACGTGCAGGATTCATATATTGTCTTTTTGCGGCTTAATATTCTCAGACACTAGTCCATATCGCGTTTTGATTCAAGTGTACTGACCTACTTTTGATTTATTCGTCCAAAATGTGGCATATTCCGTCCGCGTTAGGCTATAGGAATTCCGTTTTTATGACTGGATTCTACAAACCAGTCTGTGTTTTCCGCATCGCGGACATTATAGGGCCGTATGTCTCAGAGTAGTCAGTGCAATTTGGGGAAAAAATCAATTAAATCTATATATGTGGATGTGTTTGTAAATATTCAAATGTAATCCCCTTTGTAATTATTAACATTTTCATAAGTAACTGTAATTTAATTACACATTTTTTCTTAGTAACTGTAACTGATTACAGTTACATTTATTTTGTAATTAAATTATGTAACGCTGTTACATGTAACTAGTTACTCCCCAACACTGATGATTTATCAGTTGTGTATGTGTGTGTCTGATTTACAGTGATGTTTTAGATTAATTTTCACGACTTTTCAGAAAACTTGTCATTGTCGTTCAGAGTCGGGGTGTTTAATGAGACAAGCTGTTAAAAACAATACATCTTTGAATACTGAGGTGGTTATTTTTTTACAGAGATGATGCTTATAAAGCTACTGAATGCTGATAAACTTTTTCTTTGTGTGTTTTTGGCAGAATGAGGCTGCAGTTATGCTGCAACGCCACAGGATCGTTATTCCTCACCAAACGCAACACAGCTGTCAATCAGACCATCCCGTATGAGACCAGCAAAATAAAAACATACAAAATGAATGCAGTCATTCACAGCATGCTGCCTGAGGTGTGTCTGTGTCAGACAATCACACTTTTACAACTCATTGACTCTTTAAGCATGTTTCTGCTATAGTTTGGGGCCAGATTTGTCCTCTGAATGTGACACAACCTGTCAAACCAGTCAAGCCCTACGCTCTCAGAAATAAAGGTCAAAAAGCTGTCACTGGGGTGGTACCTTTTCAAAAGGAACATGTTTGTACCTAAAGGGTCTATTTTGGTACCTTAAAGGAACATATTAGTACTTAAAGTGTGCATATTAAAACCTAATATACAAAAGTGTACCTTTTGAAAAGGTACCACCCCAGTGACAGCTTTTTTACCTTTATTTCTGAGAGTGTACAAAGTCTGTATGTAGGCTGACTATACATTGTCTTTTTCTTGGATGTGTCTCGGTCTGGGTTGGGATGTCTGGGTTTTGCCTTTGTTTTCATACTTGCTGAAGGTAGTGAATGAAAAGTAGTTTGACCAGTAGCGTGCAGGCATTGTATATAATTGAACAATCGTGACATGCGATCTACATTCAGAACATTCAAAGCAATGCAAATATGTGGACATTGAGCTGGGTGGATTGTAGTCCATTAGTGATTACAGATTACATAATAAAAACTGTAGTTAGTATCGTAATCCAGGTTACTCATTTTAGGTATTAATGCACTGCTGACTACTTTTTTTAGATTACTTTTAGATTTCTTTTTATCTAACTTGATTTAAATTTATCATTAAACAGTACCATATTGATGTTAAAAAAAAAAACGAAAAACAAAAGCAAATAAAAAGAACAAATGTGTGTATTTATGTAGACGTGTGAGTGTGAGTGCTGCTCAATTGACTGTTCACCATTTTCATTTTGGCTGCTCTTCTCATTTTTGTGTAGTTGTTCTGCTACATTTCCTGTGTCCACTGTACTTCTTCCTGTCACAGCAGACTGTGGACTCACAATCTCTATGTTTGCAAAAATAAATAAAAAATTACACAGTGTGTGTGTGTGTGTGTGTATTTATATTTATATAGATGTGTGTGTGTGTGTGTGTATTTATATTTATATAGATGTGTGTGTGCGTGCCTTTTTGTGTGTGTGTGTATTTATCTGTGTGTGTGTGTGTATTTATGTGTGTGTATATATTTGTGTGTGTGTATTTATGTGTGTGTGTGTGTGTGTGTGTATTTATGTGTGTGTATATATTTGTGTGTGTATATATTTATGTGTGTATGTATATATATTTATGTGTGTGTGTGTGTGTGTGGTGTGTGTGCAGGATTTCCCCTGGAGCGGTCGTCGTCTGGGTCGGTGTGCTGTGGTTGGCAGTGGTGGGATTCTGAAGAACAGCAGCTGTGGACGTGAGATCGACAGCGCAGACTTCGTCATACGGTAAACACATCCCATCATGCTTTGCTCCCTCAACACTTCCAAGTGTAATCATGCATCCTTCATGTTAATGTCAGGAATATGGACTGTCAGTGTGTTTGTTTTGCTCCCCATGTGCTCCGTGACCTAGTTTTCCCTCGTGTGTGACATGCCCATATTTGGTTCCCTTCCTGTTCCAATTGTGTTTCATTTCTCCCAGGTGTGTTTCCCTAATTCCCTCGCTAAGTGTAGTATTTATAGTGTAGTCTGCCCCATGTTTCCTTGTCGGATCTTAAACGTCTACTCCATGTGCTACGTGTGTGTGTGTGTTTCCTGCCTGTTCTGTGTTCCCAGTGATTTGGAAGATTAAAGACTGCTATTATTGTAATTCCCTCGTTCCTCGCTCCTTCACAGTAGCTGAACCGTGACAGTTAACACGAAGTTTTCTCTCTCTTTCAGGTTTAATTTGGCGACAATTAATGACAGTGATGTTGGGCTGAAGACGGATCTTATAACCATCAACCCCAGTCAGATTCGGTCAGTGTCCATAAACACAAATTCAGTTAACATTTAAATAAGGACATTTTCGATTCAGATATAACTCTCAGTGAGATGGATTCTTGTTTTTTAACATTCTAACTTAAGATTTTGTCATTTAGATTAACATCCATGGAATCTTTCAGCTGCACAAAATGTTCTTTATAGTGGAAAAGGTCCTTTAGAATATTGAAATGTTCTTCACACTAAGAAAAAAAGGTTTATTTAACAACAACTGTTCACTGAAAAGGAACTAAAAATTGTTCTTCTATGGAATCACTGCAAAAAAAAAAAAAAACTTTTGCAACATTTATTTTTAAAAGTTTAGTTTAGCTATAATTTGTTAATTTGGAAGCTATATATAACCAGGTCCTGCTCAGACTCTATTGTAAATGTATTAAAGATGTATTCTGGTTACATATAATTTTTATGATATCACTCTTATGACTTGGCTCATCTGTCAGGTTGTAAAACAAAGACAGTGCTTTTAAATGGGAACATTGAGAAACTGATTTGCTAGAATGAGTCTAACTGAATGTCATAATTAATGATAGGAAGGTGTGGCCTGACTTGTTCTTGAAAGGTTTTGCGATTACAATACGGTGGGGAAAGTACAAACTGTTATTACAAACTGATGACACACTGGAAAAACATTGATGTATTTAACTCAAATAATTACAGGAACAGCATTTACAACAAATATGTTAATAAATCCATTCTCTACATGTAGGCAAACAGATTTGGTTAAATCTGGTTGTTCATAACATTATTTATCACATTAACAGTATAGTACGGTGGCCGAGAGAGCTCAACGCACTGCAAATGAAAAAACAAAAACATTTTTAAAAAATAAAATGGAATGGAATGACACAGGGAAGTATTGAATTACTGAAATGTATTTAATACTTCGTACAAAAGCCTTTGTTGGTAATGACAGCTGTCTGGAGAAACTAGTGGCATGCATTGCTCAGGTGTGATTTTGGCCCATTCTTCCACACAAACAGTCTTCAAATCTTGAACTCTGACCTTTAGTTCTTATTTTCTATTGGATTCCAGTCAGGTGATTGGCTGGCCGTTCTAGCAGCTTTATTTTCTTTCTCTGAAACCAATCGAGAGTTTCCTTGGCCGTGTTTGGGATCATTGCCCAGCCTTGTTTCATCTTCATCATCCTGGTACTGTAGGTGTTGGCACTGAAGCTAATATTCATTTCCACTGACGAGGGCAGGATTGCTTTTTAATTACTGATAGATTTCAGCTGGTGTCTTGGCTTGACATGTGCTGTCAAACTGATGAAGATGTTCTCTTAATTTGCTGGTGCTTTTTCTATTTGCATATGGGTTTTTTTCACCGCTGTAGTATAGTCATTGGCCACGATCTAGCAGTCATGAAGCAATGAGCAATATTTTACAACATTTATTAATCTTGGTTAATGTCATTTCATAAATGCACTATTGT